AAGTGAAGCGGTGTTGTGGGGGGGGGGGGGGGGGGGAGAGATAGAACCTCTGTGTCCCCGTGACAACCGCTCCTCTCATTTCTTGCCGTACTGTCACAGGGACAGGAAGTGAGGTGAAATATCCTGAATGGGGTCACCAATATTAATAAAATTTTCAGAATTGTACTCTCTTCAGGTCTATTCTAAACAAAGATGTTTTGGTTTTAGTTGGGCACATATGGACGGGGGAGGGTCCTCACCTTTAACATCCGAATTTCACGCAAAGCTATCTTTTTAATAACCGGATCGTCCTCCGACTCCACAAACTTCTTGATGGCCACCACTTGTCCGGTCTCTTTGTTCCGACACTTGAACACCACTCCGTACGATCCTTCGCCGATCTTGGCCAGCTTCTCGTACTTCTCCATAATGGGAATGATGGCTCAACTTCAGACCAACTGGAAAGAAAAAACACCACCAACCGTTCTCTTATTATAGGTCAGCGGGTTCATATATTGAAACTGAGGGCAGCAGTGAGCGGTCTTTATTACAGGAGGGGGTGGAGACAAGACCAGTCACCCTGCACAAGGAGAGAGCAGCAGTGAGCGGTCTTTATTACAGGAAGCTCCAAGTCTCACACTGGATTACTGCACAGATCTGGAAGAAATACACAAATCCCACCAAGCATCAAGGACCTACAGATTCCTGCGGCAGGAATCTCAATTGTCCCCATTCGGTGGCAGTCTAATACAGTACATATGATTACATGTGGTTTGGGATAGATGATTGTCCACCGACAGTTGCGGCCGATGTCACTCTGTCATTAACTTCAATGGGTACAGCGGCCGCATCTGAACGGCCTGGGATCCCAGAACGGCCCGTGTGAATGGGGCCTAATGAACTATACCGGCTGCAACATGTGAGATGATGTGAACTGCAATGAGCGACAATCAGATGTGCCGTGTGATATTTCTCATTCCTCTACAACCGCCAGCCGGAGTTTACGGGACCCGATGTGGATTTATAGCTAGGTGACAGTTCAGGAGAATGTTGCAGACATATTGGGAGGAATTTATCAAATATGGAACAGCCAATCAGCTTCTATCTTTCATTTTCAAATCTTACCTGAGCAAACTGCAGATGCTGATTGGTTGCCCCCCCCCCCCATTGTGTGACTGTGTGACAGATCGCAGGATCACAGTGTGAGGAGAATCAGAATCCAGCAAATAAAAAGGTAAACAATGTAACACAGACATTTCCTCCTCTAACATTGGCTGGCTGATCACATGCGCAGGCCACGGAGCAGCGAATGTGTATTTACTTGTGGCGAATAAACAGCGGGTCAATATTTGTCGTGGCTTCCGAACAGACCGCAAGCAGCACGACTCCTCTCAGGGTATGAAGGATGAACGTCACACAAGTACAGCTCACATAGAGTCTGGGAATGTTAGGATCACACGGTGAACCTTGTTAGGGTCAGACTCCCGGGACGGGACGATCTAGGATAGACATTCATGGAAAGCAATCTGTGTAAGGCCTCATTCACACAAAATGCAAGCAAAATTGTACATTGCGTATATACGCGTCTATGCGCATATGCGTGCACTATATACAATCCCAGAATGCATCACTCGTAATGGAATTTTAAATGTGCTGTGCGCATGTACGCGTATGTGCGAGTAAATACGCAGAAATACGCATCTCTGTTCCATTCTGTTTTTGCGCATATATACGGCTCCATACGCGGCTGTGTGTATGCAGCCATTTATTTGCATACGGTACAATACGCACGTACGCGCGGCAGTGTGAATGAGGCCTTAAGGTCGTGTGTATGGGGGATTCATGACAGGCTACCGTCCGCACTCACTACAGGGAACCGGGGGAAAAATTCCAACTCGTTCTCTGAAGGTATCCCATGAAGGTGTTTATATCTGGACCACCAGAGCAAGCCTAGCAAAAGTCCCAGCGATCCCGAGGCTGTGGTTCTACGGCTGCCAGGAAACTACAAGTCCCAGCATTCCTTGCTACGCTGAGATTTGTAGCTCTTCATCATCTGGAGGATTGTAGAATCTGGAGGGACCAATGTGATGGATTTGGAGTATATTTAGGGGGTTTATAAATTAGGAAATCAAGACATACTGTGTGTAAATATGTTTGGGTGTTCATAATGAGGATGACAATATATAAACAACAACAATAATAATAATACGACTCAAACAAGAAGGAATATGTCGAGTACACGAGCAATAATAGTATTGAAATAGATGGGAATTGTTTTTTAAATGAAAAGCAATAAGAATAACAATATTATTAAATAAAAATAATAATAATAAAATAAATAATAATAAAATTTAAATACATGGCAATTATTTTGTAAGTGAAAAGCAACAATAATAACAATCGTATTAATAATGATGATGACAATAATAATAATAACAAAATGTAAATAGATGGGAATTGTTTTGTAAATGAAAAGCAACAACAATAATAATATAAATCTTTATCATCATCAAATAATAATAAAATGTAACTACATGGGAATTATTTTGTAACTGAAAAGCAATAACAATCATAATAATCTTATTAATAATGATGATGATAATAATATTGTAATAATTAAATACATGGGAATTGTTTTGTGAATGAAAAGCAACAACAATATTGATAATAACTTACATGTAACATAAATGAAAACAATACTCTCAATGATAAAACTTCAGGTTAGACGCGGCTATGTGCGGCTTGACCGCAGCATTTGGATGCACTCTGTGCTACGGCCACATACAAACTTGCTAGAGTCCAGGTTGTGCGTGGCCAGAACCGTCGTCCCGAATCACACGTTACATGAGAACGGCAGCGGCGCTGTCCATATCTGGCTGCACCCCTGCTGTTCGCACTCACCACGTGCATGCAGATGGTATCTGCGATGATTCTCGCCAGTGGCCCGCCGTTGTAAATTAACACAAGGATAAAGAGACTTATTTTAGTCATGTGACTTTAATTCTCAAATCTCATTGGACTCGCCCTGAAATAAACTCACTTTTTTTATAATAAGTATCCTTATCCTGGAGTGTTATCTTTGTGAATTGCGCCTCATACAGTATTATTATCATTATTATAATTGTTTTATTATCATTATTATTGTCATTATAATTGTTTCATAATTATTATTATACAGACTTTATATAGTGCCAAAGGTTTGCGCAGCACTTTACAATATAAGGAAGACATTTCAGTTACAATACAAGACAACATGAAAACAGGACACAAAGCTAGCCGACCCGATGACACCATTTTGCCCTGCGCCCTTATCTAATTAGGCAGGAAGCGCATCACAATAATAAATATTAGGAAATACGTCACCCACAGGCTGGAGCGATCTCAGATGAGCCGTAGATTCTGCGGGGAGCCAGAAGGTACCGGTGTCACCTGTTGCATTCCAACAGCCGGTGACTGGTAATCAGCCTCCAACTGCTAGCCAGGCTGTAATGGGAGTCTATGGGTTGCCGGGGGCAACCATGAACAGGCCTCCCAGAGCAGCACTAGGCCGAGAAGGCCTCCTCCTCCTCCCTCCCTGGCTGTGTGTTTGCAAAGTCAGCCAAGGAGTTTCTATGGTGACACCGGCAGTACGGGCCTGGGAAGTACCCCGGGGGCCTCTCCTGCTCTTCGAATATTCAGTGCATGACCGGTGCTAATTACTGACAAGGAAATTCACTTTCAGCACTTGCGTCACCCTATTGTGTATCATGTGTGTGTGTAAATATATCAGATTATATACAGGCAGAGCTGACACCTCAGTAACGGGATCACCGGTTTACTAAACACCCTTTGTGGTCATTAAATGCAGACATCCCAACCTGCAAAACCTTATTTCAGGGAGTTTCCCGTCTCATATCAACGAGGTGCCCTTTCTGTTTTTTGGGTTGTTTTTTTTACAGCGGCCGTCGTCAGAATATAAAAGAAATAATAAAGCTGAGGAGTAAAGTCCCTGATACATCGTTGACTAGTTGCTATGGGCAGCAAATGAAATAAATAGTCTCTATAACTAGACAACCGGGACATTTCATTGATTCTATATTATCCACAAAGGGTTAACAGCACTCTCTCAACCCTGCAGCAGTAGATCTCAGTGCCGGTACCTGCTCTCAATAGTAGTCTATGTCCGCCCTCTCTGTGCAGCAAGTAGCTTCTTCCTTCTGAGAGCCAAGCCTCGTTCTGAGGCGACTCTAGAGATCACATGACCTTCCTCCAGGAGGCAAGCCTCGTTCTGAGGCGACTCTAGAGATCACATGACCTTCCTCCAGGAGGCAAGCCTCGTTCTGAGGCTACTCTAGAGATCACATGACCTTCCTCCAGGAGGCAAGCCTCGTTCTGAGGCTACTCTAGAGATCACATGACCTTCCTCCAGGAGGCAAGCCTCACTCTGAAACCTTACCCAGTGATATCTGACTGGAAATGTTTACTCAGAGTAAACATTTCAGGGAGAAAATGCCTCTCTTGAGGACATCAGGGAGCTGCTGTCCAAAAGAGGGAGACTCCCTGAACATCAGGGAGACTTGAGATCCCTGTAAATGCATTCTTCCAAAACGCTTTGCGGCTCATTCACACCATCAGCAATCGGCAGCGTCGCCCCGGGGGGTCCCGACGCAAGGCAAATAATCGTATGTCCTGTAGCTTCAGTTCACAGCAATGGGCTGCGTCGGTGTGCGTTGAAAAAAAGACAAAAGGACATGCAGCGTTTTTGCACAGCGCATGCCCTGACGCACTGCAGCGCTTAATTAACAACACGGCACTGTAACGTGTGTGGAAAATGCAGTGTAGCACAGCACATTGCAAGTTAGACGCATGCTAGTACATGCGGGTTATGCGCTGCCTAATGCATGTGCTATGTTGTAAACGAGCCCCCTTTTTTAACTTTCTACTTTAGGTCAATGCGAGGCAGCTCGTTGTGATGCGTTATAGTGCGTTGGGAATCACTGCGTAAAAATGCAACATGTCCTATTTTCTTTTAACGCCTCGCCTTGCCTTGTGTATGCGTTTGTGGCAGCACTCGGCAGCGCTGTGCAATGGAGCCGGCGTGAACAAGCCCTTAGCCCCTATTCATACTTGCGAAGTGTGATATCAGGCACCCCGTCTCTGTGCGTTTTTGCATGTCTGTCACACAATGCCAGTCTATTCATTTCAATGGCCTGCCCTATGCACGACGAACGCAGCAAAGAAGCTTATGGACCTCTTGAGTATTTTTTACCTGCGTGTTTGCATGTCACGAAAAACGTATGTCTTGCTTGTTGTGTCTGGGGTGCCGTTAACAATAAAGGGCACAGTATTCGCCACGCACAGGATTCTGCAAGCGTTCACGATCTACACTAGTGTGAATGGGGTTTTAGGGCCTAGTTCTCCCCCACTCCTAATAACCATATCCATTGTAAACGTACTTATTGATGGACGGACTTCCTCAATGCACTGACACCATTCCACTCAGCCCTGCGCATATGTGCTTCCATGTGTCTCACAGAGCTGACTTCTGAACTACAACCTCTGAACAATGTAACAGTATCACTGCTTGCTGGAAGCAATGCATGATGGGAGATGTAGTCTTGAGAAATGGAGATTGCATCACATCAAGCAGCAGGGAAAGAGACGCAAAGCACACTGGGAATCCAGGAAGTTGTTGGAAGTGACGGGCAGATGGAAGGCGGCGCTCACTACATAAAAGGGATTTCTTCATGTAAGCTTTGATTATATTATCAGACACACCTCAGACACATTCCTATTACAATGCTGATGTCATAACAGGAGAGAAGATGCCGGGACTTTACAGCTCCTTTAGGGTTAAAGTTGCTGTGCCCCTAGACCCCCTGCCAGCCGTATACTCCTAGGCTCAGTGTAGTATGAATGCATGATGCACTATGACATGACAAGGGGCTGTGCAGCTTCATGGTCGATATCTCACTGGATCAGGGACAGGTGTTTCTGTATATCAATGATGCTTGCCTTCCCTAAACAATTGTACAGCGCTGCGGAATATGTTGGCGCTGTATAAATAATTTTATAGGACTGGAAGCAGGGCTAGGGGTACCGCCGGACAGAAAGGTGCGGTTACACTTTTAAGATTTAGGGGTTCGTCTTAGGCTAATGGTTTGGGTGCAGCTCTGATGCTTTTAAAGTAGGGGGGGATAATTTACTTTTTTTCGGTGTCTGTTTCATCCTCATCACATCTCTAAACAATCCAGAATAAAAAAACCAGCAGCTTATGTACCAATATCTGGTACCTGTGTGCAGCCTATTACCCCGGATCCTGTGCTCTTCTCTTCAGCTTGCTTCAAGTCAAAACAGTGGAAGAAGATTGGAGTCTCAGTAAGTTATTGTCTCTTTTGTTCTTTTTGGGATATTTCTTCTTACTTCCTGTAGTTTCACTCAGATACAAAGTCAGGAGAATATGAAATATGGCATATAAAGATTTAGCATCCTGCATTTCAGCCAACAGGTGAAGCTTAAAGGCCGTGACACACTGCACGCGAAGCAGCGCGGAGCCTTTGCGAGCAGTGTGTCATGTCACTTTCTTCACGGCACCTCAGCTTGCGAGAGCTCGCAGAGCTGAGCGTGCCGAGATGAACAATTTCAACTTCAGCCAATCGGCTCGCGCGTATAAACCGGCGCGACGGGATGCGACGTCTGGCCGGTTGTTACAAACGAGCCGATTGGCTGAAGGTGCAGTCAATCATCTGACTGCACTCAGCTCACACACTGCACACGAAGCTCCGTGCCGGAGAGGTTTGCTTCGCTGTGCACGGCTTCGCATAGTGTGTCACGGCCTTAATGCTCCTTTTAACATGTTTTCATCTGGATTTTGCCCCTCTTGTACAGTCTAGAAAGACCTCAATAGCTCAAACTTAAAGTGACACTAAACTCAGGCGTTAAATCTTACAAACGCATTCAGGCACCTTCACTATGAACAACAATGTATATTTTATTTGTGTATCACTCTGCTGTAGATCCTCCAATCATCTCTGAATTGGTGCTGACACTGTCCTTCCTTCTGGAGGGTGACTACTTTTGTTCCCCATGGTCCCTGTGTGTGTCGTAAAGTAGTCACCGCTCCAAGCTCGCTCCCGGGATGGACTACAATCTCAATACAAATGAGTAAACTAACATGAGATTGTAGCCCATCCCGGGAGCGATCTTAGAGCGGTGACTACTTTAACCACTTCCCGTCCGCCGATCGTTGGAAAACGGACATCCTTTGTGCTCGCACAGGCGCGCCAGGATTTTAAGAAGCAAGGGACGGGCTTTTTCATACAACTGGCCCGGTGTCTGTAAAGACACCCGATCGCTTGTATGGTTCAAGTGAGGGTGC